TATATATATATATATATATATATATATATATATATATATATATATATAGTTCCGGCAGGCATAGAGACAAACATCAGGCCATTAAACAAGATCAATGCAAGCTTTCCGTTGGCACAACTCTCGCTATCGCATATATATATATGTGTAGATAGATTTTTAGATAGATAAATAAATAGATAGATAGATAGATAGATAAATAAATATCTATCTATCTATCTATCTATCTATCTATCTATCTATCTATCTATCTATCTATCTATCTATCTATCTATCTATCTATCTATCTATCTATCTATCTATCTATCTATCTATCTATCTATCTATCTATCTATCTATCTATCTATCTATCTATCTATCTATCTAATATTCTGTGTAGTTTTGAGCTTTTGTAATCAAACATCTTAGCAGATATAATCTGTGCTGTTAATCCTTACCTAGTGAGTCGAACATTCCAGCGAGATCTTCTTTGCTGATGAATCCATCTCTATCCTGATCGATCAGTGTGAATGCCTGCAAAAATAATTACATAATTTTAAAGGCATTTTTCTAAAGCTAATGAATTGATAATTCGCCGATGATTATAAAAGATAATATCTCATCCACCGTATCTTATACAATTCTCAATAAATGTATAATTAAATCAATTTTATAATAGATTACAATACAGCATTCGTTTTTATTTTTAATTATGGTTAATTATTCGTTACGTAACCAGCTATTACAAAATCCCCTTTGAATATACTAATCTCATACCCGGCGGTATTCATTCTCAACTTTCTGGCGATTGATTTAAGTGGGAGAGGTTTCGTCGCTAAACTTATTTAACCCTGAATATTAGCTCATAGCGCTCCTTGCGTATACACCACTCACTATATTTATTAGTAACCCCTCCCCCCACACAATTCGGAAGCAGCGCATCTCTGACACGCACGGGCCCGACATCTGCCAGTGCCGCGCGTGTGGATGATCTATTTTGGGAGACGGAGCGCGTCTGCGCGCGCGTGACTTCGTATCGTATCGGTCACCCGGCTCCCGCTCCCGCTCGCACGTAACTTATCCACACGACGCAGGCATAGCCACGGCGAGAGATGAACGCAGCGGGAGCGGGCGCGAAGCGATTGCGGGAAGGAGATAAATGTATGTATATGCTGCGGCGGGCGCATTAAAGCTCGGCATCATCTCCGCTATTACCTCCTTGAACTCCTGGACCTGCCTCTGGTCGAACATGGAGAACACATTGGATGTGGCGCGCTGTGCTCTCTTCTTCGTCTTTCCGGACCCACTGCTGGAATCTCCCTCAGCCTTCTTTGTCTTCTTCTTCTTCTCTGTCTTTTCGCTAGACTAGAAATACATTCCAGGCAAATCACTATACGCATTCTAATAACGAAACCGAAATAGATATCGATTATAGATCGCAAACCCACTGTTACGGTAAAAGCATTCCATCAAGAGCAAAGAAAAAAATGCCATTTGTTTTTATTCACTCTTGATTCCGTGTGTAACATTCATGTGTTAATCTATGAAATACGCGGTACATCATAATCTGGGAATTAAATGATAATCCTTAGTAAATGATTAAATAATTTCATCGGATGTTTACATAAAAATAAAGTGTAAACTTTATTTTTATGTAATCCTTAGTAAGCGAGTAAATATTTCACATACGGGCAGGCATAATAAGCGTGCCCCATGAAACCAAAATGAATCCCCCTACTCGTTAAAATACGCGAAAGAGGAATAAACCAGTTCCAAAATGTTTATCCTGCTAAATGATAGGCTGCTTCGAAAAGCGCATTGCTCTGCTGCCCTTGTCCTTGGTTTGCCCTTATCCGCCATTTACGATAGCGACTGTGAGGATGAAATCACTCGTATACAAAACTACCAAGCGCGTTAGTCTCTCAAACTCATCAGGTATCATTAATTAAAATTGTTACGACATTACTACACATACGAACGCCAATAACTACATCTATAAAACGAGGTGTGACGATCTCAAACACTCGGTACTACATGCCATATTAAACCTGAACCTAAAAGCAAAGGTAGCCACGTAAACGCACACTGCAGCCGTCCAAACACACAGACGCATCTTTATAGAAGAAGCCTGCCTGTTCTGTTTGAATGCGCGATGAAGCGTCGTGGTTCACAGCGAAACTCAGTACTCACCATGGTGATGTGTGTTTAGGAAAGACGGTGCTGTGATCAGCTGAAGCACGGAGGCACTCTCAGGAATGACTAGCGACGATGAGGCTAGAGCACCAAGATGAATGCACACGCTCGTCCTCGGCGCAAGCCCGCCTATAAGAAGACGGCAAAGTTCTAGCACCATTTTTGGAAATCAACTCAGAACACATTGCGCAGATGCCATCCGACCATTATAGCTGAAATCGTATACTCTGTCTCCCTTTCGCTTGCATATGTAAAAGGTGCTGTAGGCCACCCCCTTGCAGCATGTGGCACGGGTGAGACTATTTTCGGCATATTGGGACGTTCGCGTGCGTGCAATAGGAATCCGACGAGGGCGGAAACTCATGAAAATACTTCAGGGCTAGACGAAGTAGGACAGGCCATGCGAGCGACGGCAACATTTTACCTCTCCGACGCCTAATAATTAACTTGCGCGCGTGAGCGGCATAGGTCTAACGTAGGCGTTCGTCAGAGAGCGTACGGAACACGGCCTTACAGTATTGTTTATCCGCGCCGGTGACCGCTACCAACCGACAATGGAATTGTTTATTTGTATGTTTGCAGGGATTCGTTTTGCTGGTTTCTGTCCATTCGGTAGAACTCTGCTTCAACGGGCGGACATCTGTTGCGCCCAGTCAATGTGAAACGACGGCCAAGAGTATTTAAGCAAAATATTATTCTTTGGATATTTGTGTGGTTATTGTTACTTAAGTCGGAGCGCCGAAGCCGCTAAGAACTCCCTGCGTCATACTATTATACGACACGATATATATATATATACATAAGAAGCGCAAATAAACATCTTTGTACGCATGTTGTGTAACTCTATCTTTCGAGTTGCCTCAATGGCGTAACTCTGTTGCAGACGTGAATGCATTGTATTAACTTTTTGTTGTTGACCGTAAAGCTAACCCCATCACCCCGCTCGAAAGCCATCAATGGCCATTGAACAGCTGGGCGAAAGACGTAATGAGTGCACGAATAACTCTTAACAAGAGTACACATATACTACTAGGGCATTTCTCCGTTGGAACTATACTACCTCGTATGCATATCGGTATCTAATATATCGCGAGAGAGCACACTCTTGCGCTGTCAGTTATCTAGGGCTCTCAGTAAACATTGTTACACACAGTGCAAACATAGTGTAGTGGGTAGAAAGGAACCTGATGAGTTGAAACGATACATCGCTTATCCAAGCTAGGTTACTAGCATCAAGCCGCAAAATTGCTACCGGTTAACGTCTATCTGTTTATAGTGAGAGACGAGCATCTGCATGCAGACCTCATCTATAGCAGGCTATCACCGATACTGGATCAAGCGTCTGCTAACCCAACAATGACGGGACAGTGATAGGTGAACAACAAGTTTATAGCGACATATTCAAGAAGATTGCGTCTTGCGGTGAGAACCGACATATAACGACAGTCTGCCTCTCTGGACACCACAAGCAGAGAACTATAGTAGAAGAGGCCCTTTTTTCTTTTTTCTTTCGTGGAAGGGAAATCTAACGCGGAGGTTGGAAGAGAGCGTATGTACTGGAGGTTCCCGCTCGCAGAGATGGGTGAGTTGCTTTGAATAACATGAGTTCTCCCGTACACACTACGCTTCGCACGAATACGCCAAAGAATAGGTAGAGTCGATATTGGTGGGTAATGCATGGTGGGTCGCTTATGCATGGGTAGTGCGTGTATGTATAGATGATGTGTGTGCGTGTATGTATAGATGATGTGTGTGCGTGTGTGCGTGCGCACGTACGTGGCTCTGCTCAGTCCCTTCACGCCCTCCGCACGCGCTCTCTCTCTCTCTCTCTCTCTCTCTCTCTCTCTCTCTCTCTCTCAGAGAGACTATACGGTTTTCGTGCGCTTATTCAGATTATAACTCGGGTTCGTTCTGTATGTATTGCGCGCAGGGCACATCGACAGCAATACCGTGCAACCGACCGGATATAACAAGCATCTGGATGTCTTAAACATGACTGGCTGCAGGCCACGCGATGCTTACTGGGGCTACATGCTGAGCGATTGCTGCAGATTTCGCTAGTGACTGTAGACGCTTAGGGCCAACTATCTTTGGCAAATGACCAGAAGCTTCTTCGGCGGGATCTATAAATTGCGAATGATTTGCTCTGTAGAGCGAGCTATATGCGCGCTCGCTCATTACACTGGCCCTCTTCCCGCGTCTGATGGAATCCTACGATGTACGAATAACTACCAGGTCGTAGTATTTTCTATTCTAACGAATATAATATAAATATAATGTATAGCGATGCCTAAATTCTGTATATTCGCAGGAATATAGTCCACGTATTCTCAATGTCATTGCTTGGATATCTAGAACATAAACGAATCACCGCATGCACGCACGCAGCGCACGCACGACGCACGCACGGCAGCTGCACGCGACACGCCACACACAGCACCGCACAGCACGCCGCACGCACAGGCACCACACACACACACACACACATACACACACACACACACACACACACATATATATATATATATATTCCATCGCAAGTATCCACCGCATAGTATCAAGTTAACGAACCTCTATGTTGAATGATTGTTTTAACAGGAAAGAACATGCTACATTACAACTTTTAACTGTACCTCCGCAACCAGGTCATGGGCTACCATATAATTGTTTTTACCAGAAGTTCTATGTATTTTGTTACAAAACATTCTCCCTATGTGCCAATCTTTATTCCTGCCAAACTGCCCTTACATGCGTTGACTTGTTTCTCACGTGATTTCAGTCGACTTGGAGTTAAAATTAAACCAACCATTTACAAAAAAGTGGCGTGCTGCATAAATACCAGCTAGCGTACAGTGCAGGATATTCCATATGGATGCCGACTGTTTACGAAGCTTCAACTAGAATTATACAACTTAAAGTACACTATGTCCGCAAAAAAAATCGAAAGATGATACTCAAAAACACTAAATTGAAGCAGCGCAGAACCGCCGCGCAGCGCCAAATCGAGTGAGCGTCAAGTGAGAGTCACACCAAGTACTGAGAAGTTACGCCAGTAGTAGGCCCGATACACTACACCGATAAACGAGCAAGATCGAGTTACGTGTGTCGACGAGGGCGGTGTTTAAGGGACAGCATCTACCATGTGCTGCCTGCGTGAGATGTCTGTGCAGCACCCATGAACCGACATTGGCAAATTTCACTCTACCGTGATGAAGTTCGTCCGTGATCTTAACACGAAAGATACCGCTGCATCGATATGATGATACGCACGAGATTGACATCGGATGTGGAATAGGTAGCAGAGACCCTGGTGTGCATGGGTAATTTAGCTACACGCTAACTTGATAATCTGAAACCCCTGAATTACTATACCACGAGTCGTGTACATTTTAAACCAAAGTATTCTGCATTAGACATTTACATACAGAGAATTGAGCCAGTCTATAGAAATTTCATTAACCTCAAATGTTTAATTAATTTTGCGTGATTAATATTGCTTTAATGTTTGAGGGGGTTCCATTTAATGTCTCCCAGGTAAAAAATATTTAAGTTACCAGTTTCCGGTTAATTAAAATCGTGGTTTCGGCTTTCCCGCGTTCCGGTTGACATCTATTATTATCTAGTCACAAAAAGGTATCTGGTATATATCCCGGTTTCTAGATAATTAAAATAGTCCAATCCCGTATCACCAAATTAACAGTTCCCTCCTTGTCATAAATAGTTATGACAATTTATGATGCTTCTGTCAATGGCCCCAGCTTTCTAACGTTTGCAGTTGCTAAGCTAACTCAATAACAAAAAAAAGCATGGTTTGCATGTTTTAATTTCTCGAAGAGATGGCTTAAATAGCAAGTATATAAATGCAATCTGAACAGGAACACCAGCGATAGCGTGATGATTTTTAATAAGTACACATATACCAGGCATTGCTTTTCGCTAGTATCGATTACTGTGATCTATATACACTTCAAGTTAGGTGGTCATCACCATTCATCATCATCATCAACATCATCATCAATCACCATCATCATCATTATCATCTTCTTCATCATCATCATCACGTCATTCGCGTTCGCGGCCCAGCCGACGAGAGTTACTAAAGGAATGCGCTCCACACATAACACACAAATATTCGGATACTTTCACTGTTTGTGTCGTAGCTTTTATTATATATCACAATAAAATATTCTATATTTACATTTCTCAGCGTTATATTTGATATTGACATACACACACATTAGAGTTTTTCATGTTGACACAAAATTTCATCGGTTAATTACGATGACACGCCACGGTAATAAAGATACAAACTATATTTCGCAGCATATAGACACCATGCAGAGCAACACGACATCAAAACCCATGCACGGCTAAGATATCTGAGAAGACACAGCTAACGAAAGAACACGTTTTAGAACGCTGGCGCTCGCTTTTACTTCAGCGTTGATATTCTTACTCTACAAGTGCAACCGCTAGGAACAAATATGTAATCGGAGAAGGGAATGTCCTGTATAGGATCAAAAACCATGAGTTGCTCCAGTCTGTAGTCTAGTTGGCATCGTCCTTTCACCAGGTTGCAAGTGTTGCTGCTGTAATATAAGTAGAGAAACAATTTACTAAATTAAAGCAATAGGTAATGCAATGTCGGTCATTTCTAAGATATTAAATAACGCAAGTAGCAAAAGGATGCTACGCCGACCGGTGCTTCGCAGAAAGCGAAGGAGCTAAGTGTATGTGCGCGTTTAAGTGCAAGTGTAGGAGTATGTGCGCTCGTTGGTTTCAGTTTCACACCTGCAGTGTATAATTTCAACGCACTGCTCCAACGTTGGCATTTGCACGATGACCCTGAACTCTCCATTTGGATTGTAGCCAAAGAGCGGCTTTGATAGTCTTCGAGTGATGTTACATACTGGCACTGGAGCATCGATGCAACTATACGAATAAAAACAGATCGGTTAGCAATTTACAGTAATGGTATATTCATCAACTTCTCTAATCTTGTGTAATCCTTGCACAACACTCTACACCTATACTCCCCCACGCATTCTTTCGCCCCCGCTCTCTCTCTCGCTCTGATTCTTTCGCATCAATTGAACAGATCTTGTAAGCTAAGCTTATGCCATGCTTCTTTTTCATATTATAATGTTAAGTTAAGTTAATAAAGTAAAGTTAATATTATAATTATAAGATAAGTTATAATGTTAATTAATGTTATAATTTATATAATATTATAAGACGCTTCATGCAGGCAGCATATCGTCATCTGCGATACGAGAATGAAATTCGAAATATTTTTTCAATGAGAGGTGACTGGCGTTGCTGATACTATTTCCGTATGAACCTGTACTGTGGCGACACCTTACGGAGGAACACGCAATTAAAACGATGAAGATGAGGGGCGAAGAAACTAGTCGTATAAACCTTATAATCATCACAAACGCGTTCATGGCTGTTTTTATGTATATTATTCTCGTGAGATTCACGCACCTATCTTTGGGGCAAGTTCCTATTTGGCGCTTCCTTCTAAGTAGTCCAGTTGTAGGATCAAATAGTTTGTCTGTCACCACTGTATTGTCGCACGTCAACACCGGCACTCCGCTGAAGTTAAAGCTTCTGGTGATCGCATCCCTGCAATTTCATCGGTGAAGACGGCAAAAAACACGATTTATAAACGTCAACGCTACGTTCGCTATTGACATATAAATGCATTAATGATGCAGTATGTCGTATAGAGCGATAAATCATACCCCCACTTGATTAGTTCGTTTTATATGACGTCAAAAATACGCGTTCTCGCGAATCGAGTCTGCAGATAAAGATATGCAAATACACTCACAATGCAGCTGTACGAATCTGCGGGGAAGCATCCTGACTAAATTGCTCTTCCAGGCCCAGATCCTTAAGTTGTAATATCCGGTTCATGTCAACCCGTTTGGAGGTTATGTATTCCCTCAACACAACGTTAGATGCGGCTCCGCCGTTAGGCAGGAATGATATACCAACGACGATACTTATGTAGGCGATCTAAAAATAATGCGAATACTGATTAGCTCACGAAAATACACATAACACACCCAATATAAACTGGTATCTAAATAGAGTAGCAATAGATTTACTACCTCAGTAGCGCGCGTTTACTACGCATGATATCAAGAAATTAATTAATTGACGTACAATGGAAGAGAACATCTTCTTCGGGTTGTTATCCAAGCTTCTCTGCTACTGTCCGAATGACAATCTTGCTGCGTCGTACCTACAAACGATGCAGTCAATGTTTAAAAAGTGAAAGGTCGAACCATCTGTAATCACCGTGGCTGTGGTGGCGTGCTGCCAGAAGACGCACATAGTGATCGCGCTGTGTCTACGCCAGTGTTAACGATGCGAAGACGAGGTCACGACTTCTTGTAAAAGGTTAGCGCTCGAATGTGTATTGAATATGTCTAAATGCTATCGTCTGTTACAGATTGTTCCGCAGTTCATTACCACATTTCACGCGGTTCACTGCGTATAATATATCCTGCCACTCGGAAAGACACTTGCGTCGCGCACACGGAGTGTTTACACGATTCGTAACAATTCGAAATATGCTAGCGCGCGGTTACGTCGACCCACCACTGTCAACAGCAAGGCAGCGAAAGTGTCTTACCTTATTCTGAAGATCTCACCGTGAGTACTGCGGCATGCGTTGCGTCTCTTACGGTTTCCAGGTGACAGAATCCACGCGAAACGACTACGAGCAGCGAATTGGGCGCGCCGGTGTGATGTTGTGCACCTCGCTCACTCGGCGGGAATGGAAAGTGTTCAGTGAGCCCGCCTCGCCGTGTCCCCCCCCCCTGCGCCAGAGCCGGATACGTAGGTACCTGCTGGCGATTCGCAACGCCCGACCGACTTCACCACTTGGTCAACAGCCCTGTTCGTTGAACCCGCCGCGATTGCTATAGTGAATAGTCGTCAGTGATAGTGCTCACGATAGCCGAAGTGAGAATCATTTCCATCAAATCCGTTATTTATATTAATGTGTATGATGTGTTTACTGTGGCAAGGTGGGCGGCGTCTTTATAGGAGGAATTAGTTTCTGATGACATCGAGTAGTGTCAATTTCCTGTTCAGTGACTGCATTTTTCTTAGGCTTACGTTGTTGCTGGATTAGTGGCAACAGGCACTGATATAGACTACTCTGCTACGTTAGAGGAAGCTATTTCCGGCAGGGGTTTCCCTATATTCAGCATAATAGAACAAACAAACAGTGTAAAACACTCCAATAAGCTTTATAAACATCGTCCTAGGTTCAGGCATGCTGTCGCTGGAGCGTGTTCGAGTTTCGAGCAAATCCTCCGACTACAACCCCCCCCCCCTCCCGTGTCTTAATAGTGGGTGTCTGTGCAATCACTCGCTACAGCTGATGTCAACGACACAGATAAGTGACCAGTTTCATCTTCCTGATTCGAAAACCATAGTGTGTTGACTTTCTCCGCAGGCCAGGTTATGTTATGTTACGCGCCCTACCAAACAGGTTTGTGATTGTTACTTTCTGCTACATATCCAACATTTACTGCGCGCAAAATGCAAGTAATGACAAGAAAACATCACGTTAAGCAGAAAATATTTTATTGAATACATTGTGAAATTATACACTCGCTTTACGAATATCTTCTGTGCCACTATATTTTTTATTAATATTGATTAAATATAGATTCGTGTACTATTTTATGTATAACGATATATGAAGGTTTAGTCCATTCCAAATATCACAGTTGGCTAATAAGGTGTGGTGTCACAATGTGGACAGACGCGGACTCATTCCTATGTGATTTGTCGTGATTTTTTTGCAACGGCTCATTCTTGTATCGATCCGCGTTTGTCTCATTATAGTTCAGGCCATAGTTTACTTTTTTATATTTTTTTTATCACAACTGAAATTATAAATTAAACGCATAGGCACATAATGATGCACCCTACAAAAAATATTCATCATTGTATGTATTATAAGTATAATATGAGTTTATGTAACTGGGAATCTACGACGAGAAATTCATGTGAATGGCACCGACCGCTCTCGCACGCATGCACAGACTACAGAGAGACACAGGCGAGCAGTAACGAAGCGTGATAGAGACGTGTTAGGGTTCTTTATCATCCACATACGAACACCCTCCTCGTTCATCCTCACGCAAATCCGACAACTACTCTCCGCACCCGACGAGTTCGCGGTATCAAGTGCCCGGCGGCACGCACCCCGCACGCATGCACACTGAACGCACGCTCGTTGCACGCATGCACACTGCACGCACGTACACTGCACGCGCACGCACGCACGCTGAACACGCACGCACGCTGAACACGCACGCACGCTGAACACGCACACATGCTGCACGGCGCACGCACGCACGCTGAACACGCATGTACACTGCACGCACACACGCTGCACGCACGCACGCTGAACACGCACGCACGCTGAACACGCACGTACACTGCACGCACACACGCTGCCCGCACGCACGCTGAACACGCACACACGCTGCACGCACGCACGCTGCACGCACGCGGGGCCGCTGGCTGTCACGACTAGACACGCGTTACGTTGGCGGGAAGATGGTCGCTCGGCAAGCGCAGCCGGTCGGGATGAGGAACGTACTGAGCACGCACTTGTCGCTAGGCGGCAGGATGATGATCAGACTCTGCTCCCTGTACTCCTGCGTGCAGTTTCCGTGCACGAGGTTGCAGCTGCTCGACCTGTGAGTGAAATAGAGAGTCGACACAAGTACAGTGTAGACACCGTAATGCTGAAATAACTACTATCGACGTAGATATGAAGATAGCCAGCGTGGTGTGTGACATATGGCACTCCTTCGGTGTTTGAGTGTTATTAAAAATAATATAATCATCGCTACAATCATCATTATTCGGTCATTATTAGGGCTGTAAACGCAGGTGAATGCACGTGTAATATCGCGCACGCAGTCAACTAAAACTAACTATACGCAATCTCATGAACGACCGGATGTCTGGGGCATAGGTTACGCAAATGATGGTGATCTCCACTTCTTCTAACCCGCAACGTGTCAACGAGATACGAATGGAAGGCTATTTACATGTCAATTCGTGACCATGCGCAGTGGTCTGCTTGCTCAGCCGCAACGACACGGGAGCACCTTGAACATTCGACTGACCAACACATCAACGTCGCGCAAACCATTGTCCATTATACTTTAACGACCACGACAATTCTAGTCGCCACCGGTTAGACGAGTCACGGGACAATATTTTACTACCATCACTGAATGCTTTGGATATTAAAAGAGGATTTCAGATTGTAACTACATCGTCTACCCTTGGTTGTTACGCCGGATGACGTAGTGGCTACGTACCCTGAGGCGATGGTTCCCAAAGTTATTACAAAGACAAGCCCAGACAAAGGCAGAGTAGGGAATGGGCCAGGAAAACATCGGGACTCGAAATCAGGCGTAGGACGGCGCAGTCAGCCGTTTGTAATGACAGCCAACTGCGTACAACCAGAATACCGGCAATATAAGCGAGCTGACGTCAGAGGACCGGACAGACACACAGACAGACACGCAGGCAGATAGAGAGGCAGGCCGGCAGGCCGATGGATGAATGGATAGATGGACGGACGGATGGATGGATGGATGGAAGAATAGATGGATGAATGGATGGATGAATGAATGAATGAATGAATGAATGAATGAATGAATGAATGAATGAATGAATGAATGAACGAATAAATGAATGGTTGGATGGATTAATGGTTGGATAGATGTATTGATCGATACTTACTGACAGATTGTTTGCACGACTGGTTGTTCAAAGATACCAGGTATATTCAGTATTCTTTGGGTGCTTCCAAATATGTCTTCGAGATGTGTTGGAAACTTTGTACGTGTCGTGCTTTCACACATGGCTATTGGTGGCTCGATACATCTAATTAAAAAAATTCAGAATTGCATATTATAAGACCACAACGCAACGCCGCAGGGTGGAGTTCGATTACACATTTAAAGGTAGGGGCACACGAGCGATTTTTATCGCCCGATCGCCGCGAATTTCAAAATACACGCATACCCGATGACCATGGCTTGTGGAATGTCATGACAAATGTAATACTTTTGTCGCCGATTTTGACAGTTATGCTAGGGGCACACGAGCGATTTTTATCGCCCGATCGCGGCGATTAAAATTGCCAGCGAATTTAATCGCCCGATCACGAAGGGGCACACGTAGCGAATTTAATCGCCCGATCACGAAGGGGCACACGTAGCGATTTTTATCGCCCGATCACGAAGGGGCACACGTGACGTAGCGAATTTGAGAGCGTACGCGTACGCCACTCGACAGAACATTTAACATCACATGATAACAACAACACGTCCGATTGGTTTAGAAAAATCGATCGGGCGACAAAATACGCCGGTCACGGGCACACGAGCGATAATAATCGCCCGGCGTAAATAATCGCCCGGCGTAAATAATCGCCCGAAAATATCTAACATTTTGGATACGGGCGATTCGGTCGGCCGATTAAAATCGGCGTCGACGTGAAGGGGCACACGAGCGATTTTTTCGAGCGATTTTGAAATTCGCGGCGATCGGGCGATAAAAATCGCTCGTGTGCCCTTACCTTTAACGAATGTAAATTTTTCTTTTTGTTTTAAAGTGATTACGTCACCATAAATAGTAAAAAAATGTCACAAAATACAAGTAATTCTGTTCACTTTTTATGGTTAAATTGCTGCATTATATTTCTTATTTTACTATATTGTTCGATGTGAACATACACTCGTGACGCATACATAGCCCATAGCAAGCAATTAATGTCAGGAACACTAATATCAAATCGACCAGGTTTTTTGGATTTTTAACTAGTTGTGAAACAATCTTATCAGGTAAGAGTTTGACGATACGTTTAGTCCCGTTAGTTCTTACTTTGAATGTAAAAAATGGCAACAAAACAGTTACATATTTCACCATAGAAAATTCGTGACGTAGTCAATTTAATTAAGTTTTTACGAATACGTCGCTGATCTCATCACACCGGAAGGAATCAAAGAACAAGCACATACTGGACGGCAACCTGCTGAGCGAGCGACTTTCCTACGCGTAACATCACTCAATTCGGTAAAACCAGCGCTGGTTCCATACAGCTCGAGACGACCTTATATAAGATTTGACACATTTCGTAAGGTATCGTAACGAGATTCGGATCAGATTTGCGCTAATTGTATACGTACGATGAGCAGTCGTCGACAACCTGTCGTCTGTCGCGCACGTGATCCTGTCGCACGGCGTCCGCGCGTAGGATGTCTTCCAGCGAGAACCCAGCTTCTCTCTTACCCCTGAGAAACGCCGACTCCGACGGCTGCAGCTGCATGGTGTGCTTGGACAGGCCTAACGATACCAATGTCAGATCGTGCCTGTATGCCAATATAGACGAGACATGACGAGACGATTATCATGACAACATAGGATGGAAACAGATAAATAACATCGTTTCGTTTAGTCAACGATAGACGAAGAACATATTCTCTATAGCATCCAAGTATAGACGACCCTCTGCTTTTAAACAATCTCAATTCTGAACACGCGTATGCAGTTTAGGCTTCTTACATATTTTCGGTGCCTTCGACGCTTGATTTTCGGTGAGTCAGCAAACTGAGTACAACCACGTAACAAAACCACACCTGGAAAGATAGCGCCAGTAAAAATAACAATCCCGAACCAAGACTGGACCGGACGTGGCGGCACGAGACTATAAAACATCGACATAATCACAATCATCGCATCAGGAGTCTATCAATAGTCTATTGATAGACTCCTGATCGCATCGACAATAATAACCGCGACTACAATGACGACGATGACGACGTAACGTCGAATACGTATAAAACATGGCACCCGGGCGCACACACATGCTCACACACGAACTTGCTGCGCGTTGGTTGTTTCGGTGGCTTAATTTGCACTTGCATAGCTTGCAATGTAACACGCGAAGACAAATATATGCGATATATACTATCATCCTCTTTAACGCCGATGGCTGGTATACACAAGCCTTGAAGCAACCACTCTATAACCCAACAAAGTTATGACAGATTTTTATTACTTACCATACACAATCTCGTGATTGCCATTTTGCTAGAAACTACCAGCTCGATCACCCTAAATGTTCTTCAAGTAAAAGTCGGTGAAAACACGAATGAAGAGGGCTAGATGGGAGCTTGCATTATGATCTATTTCGCCGACGTGCTAATAGGTGTCCGCGTTTGAGGCTGGCACCACCGCTTGCAGAGCGAGCACACACAAACACACACACACACACACGCACACTGCAAACGGGAAATACTCTCACAGTACGAGATATTCAAGTTCACTTTCGCGTCAAAATGCGGCAACGCACGCTCGCTCGCCTATTGCGGTGATGTGGCGAACCGTGAACAGACACAGCCTCCGGCTACATTTCCCCGTAATTGTACACGCTATTGGTTGCACGGGTTCATGCGTGTGTGGCGCGGAAGAGGTGAGCGCGACGGGGTGCGCGTGGGTGTGACCTCTCTAGCTCATCATGATCACCTTGTTTGCACAGATCACGAGGCATCACGTATTTACTCGGTTTGTACACACGCTACCTGCGCTACGCAGTCCGCAGACGCAATGCACGTACGGAAATTAAAATGCAAGTGCAGTATCTTAGTACTTACCGGAGAACTAACGTATAACATTACGACGCCGACATTGTCGCCACGCCGGCCTTAAAGTCGTAATCGGGGTGAACTGGAGGGAGTAACGACCCGAGAGATCAAAGAGCACGACTGCTCCATTCATGGTCTCCCGCCCAGCGGCGAAATGGTGGAAGCCCCTCAGTATAACAGGAGGTCCATTGTAGGTTTATAACTCGCGTGCGCCGCCAGCCCCGCCCGAACTGCAATCACGACTCTCGTTTCCAAAGTAAATCTAAATGCCTTTCGGCTGCGCGCGGAAATGTACGAGTTCCTATGCACAGAAAAACGGCACCGAATTACACTACCCAGACAACCACAAGTCTATGGTGATTCTAAAAGGGAACCCAAATACCTCTGAAAATGCCTGGGAATACGTAGTACGTTGAAAATCTACCCAGCAAGCTAACGAAAATGTGTACGCGCAGTTTTACCCGGATGGTTTGCCACACTACAACTCGTATTAAGATGGACTCGCAGTAACAAGAGAAAAAATATAATTCAGTAACAAATGTATTAAAATAGCAATTAAATTTCATACAAGGCATTAAATCTACATGGAACACGGCAGCGTCTACGTAAACACACGCACAGCCTGATGCGCGCGAGTAAGCACAGAGAAGTAATATAAGAAAGCCAAGCAATGAATGAGTTGGCAGTTGGCACGTTTGCACAGTCACGTTTCTTTCACACAATGACATCTTTATGGTTTCTGACCATTTTTCTATAATAGAAAGAATTACAAAATTGCATTTTTTAATACAATGATTGTCAGGCATGATATTACACCATTAAAAATAAACTGGAAAACAGACTCGGGGGATCCAGGGATCGAAGTCCCTGTAAAAGCCCATGGATCTTCAGCATTTCAAATGTTTTGCTAATGCTTTATTGCGGTTAACATTGTCTGAGGTTATGGACGCTAAAGCGCCGAGCTGCTTATGTAGGTTACGTTAAATGTGTATATTTGTTCCATGTCGATCGTACATATCAAATAACACCCCTTTACCAAATTTAGGCACCTAATTTATAACGATCTCGAGGTAGGCCTGTTTAGAAGACAACAACAGGATATTCAAATTAAAATGGCTAAATATCATGCTTTATCATCACTATTACTAATATTATTATTGTTATTATTTTAGTTATTCAATTAAAAACTAATGTGGTTATACACAGTTCTCTAGTGACAATCGCACCATGTACCATGTACGCATGTGCACTACGCATACCATCGCACCATGTACGCTCACTTTACTTTATGTTGACATAACATTCGCATATAATATGCAATGGCAAAAACGTAGCTAAAATGTTATCACAGCAATTTCCCATGCAACTATTACTACATGTCCATTTAAAAATCATGTTTTGTATAACATATATCAACCCGTATATATTTAAAACAACTTTTAAATCTATTTAAAATATACCTCAAAATAGCTTCTAGATTTCATTTCCACACAATTAAAATTATTACTAGTGACTATTAGTACTAGTACTCTAGTCTATTGGTGTACATCTTGCATGATGTAAGCAACAGAAAAGTATGTGATACTTGTATAACATAAATACAATCAATGACATGCTTCACATTAAGGTGTGATTTTCTGTATGTCGGCACCTGACAACGTACGTTACTTCCGATCTATAAAACTTCATATAAACGTTGCCATGCTGCTCGGTGCACATTGTTGTTAGTCTGATGGCGGGTCGTGATGCTCGTCGATCATGAAAGCAGGCACGCAGTGCGTGTGCACCACTTCCTCGTCCTCGGACGATTTCTCGTCTGCCGTATCCTTTCTCTCGCCGCCGCTTGTGTTGTTGTCATCGTCTTCCTCGTCGTCATCGTCGTGCAGGTGTGTCAGCTCCTGCGGCGTCTCTGCCCACAGGTGCGGTACGAGGCTGTCGTGGCGTCGGCGCGGCGATCGCGCCGGGCTCTCGGCAGTACCGGAGACATCGCGCGAGCGGCTCGCGATGAAATTGCCCATGTCTTCCTCGCACGTCATCTCGACGTGCTCAACTGTCGACTCATGCGGCATCTGCGCAAAGAGATGACGCCACCGATTAAAGCCAGGATTTTCGAAATCACTGTTTCAAAATGCGAAGACTAGAAAACTGTAGTGAAATATAGTCTCACCTAATAGCAGAAATGTTACCGATTACACCAACTTGAAAAACACTAAGAATTTATGCTGATATATCGTAGAAAATTTGATTTTAACACATCGTAACACCATGGCATATTTGATTATAGCAACAATTAATTTGCAAATGGTGCCTTCAAAAAAAGTGCACTACAGTGAATACCTATATGAAATTAAAATGAGTAATCTAAATTCGAATTGTGCATGTTTTAGTGGTACGGAGGTTCTAAGACATGTTAGCGTTACTCTAGACAGTTGCTATTACTCGAGCAATAAGGGTAAGTATAGTAAAAGTGGGGAAAACACGAGACTGGTTAGAAAATATTTTCGAAATCCTGGCTATATAACGACAGACGTCGTGCACCGAGGAAACAGCTTGTTGTGAATATGTGGCATCTTGATTTTTTGTACGGAACTGTTTGTCATTACTGTCTAGTGGACACACACCGTCAGACACACGTGCTGTGTTACAGTTGCTGCCGTATGCTTTGGTGTCAGAATAACGGAATTAAACTAATTTCTGTAGTGAATTCACTACATCGCTATGATGACAGCAAAACTAACATAACAGATGGTAACAATAACACAGACACAAAGTAACTAAATATGCTAAATCCTATATATATATATATATATATATATATATATATATATACATATATGCACACGAACACGCACACAAACATGAACACAGAAACACACAAGCACACGCACACATATATTTATAACCACTTCGCACCTCTAATCTTCTTTGACTTCATTATGTCACCAAAAATATGGTCGCCAATGTAGAGGACATCCTTGCCCTTCGCTCCAATCATGTTAGAGAAGACATCACAAGAACCTGCACGAAATATGCATATGCATAATAAAGTTCCATGTGAAATTTGTGATAAATTGTATTACCACACAATGTTTGATATTACATGGCATTAATCTCATATCTATCTAGAAGTGATGATGAACATTTAAAATATTGATAGCTATTAAAAAATCTGTACCTCCAGCATACACTGATCCCTTTTTGAGTGGTCCTACATGTGAGCCTATTTTCCATGCTCCTGTGTCCTATACCAGACGGTAGAATAAGAGAGTTTGGAGAAATTAAACTGTTAGTATTAATATTACAAGTAGCATTTTGATACACACACGATGTATACTATGATTCTTCACATATTATACACAGAGGTTAGGAGTGTGTGCACAGCAACTATATGATAAATTGCATGAAACTGGTACGAAGTGTTGAGATCTCACCTGATTCACTTGCCTCAGTATTGTACCTTCTGCAAAGAACAGTGGTTTCTGTGCATCAACTAATATGTAGTCAAAGTAGGTCTTCCAGTTTCTACCTGGTTTGTCTAACAGGTATGACATAATGCCCTGGAAAAGATGGAAATAACAAAATATGATTACAGTATATTATAATACTTGTAGCTATATTGGTATTTAACAACATCAGGTGTATATAACAGATTCTTTCCTTAATACCACCACATTAAAATTATACATTGTAAGTCATCATGCACTTACTTGCTTCTACAAAAACATGACAAATTACAAAACAGTGAAAGTCATTACCACAAAACAAGCGTGTTAAATTAAAAATCTATACTTACTGCAGTATACCAATATTCACTGTTGGTTAGCAGAAATACTTTGCTGTCGTGTTCTGCCATCCTATATTAAATTAGGGTCACAGTAAAGTAATTAGTGCGTATCTATCTTCCATTCATCTGTGTCTGCACCGACTCAATCAATTATATTATGTAGCGCCAGTCATTTTTTTACTGGCCCACTTTAAGTTTATTATTAATATTTAATAATTATGTTTAAATATATATAAATATATATATTAAGTCAGCACTTCTTCATAATTGGTTACATTACATCATCAATTCATACCATGTCAGTTCATGAATGTTAACTGTTTTAACTTTGATAGATTCTTGGTCCAGAAAAATAATATTTTCCAAAGACAAGTTTACCTATCCAGTAGAATAGGAAGTCTATCATCCTTTATCACATACTTCTTTGGGTCACTGACAGTAATCTTTTTTAATGACCCCTGTTATAAAAACAAGGAACGTCTTCAACAAAGATTCAATGTCACTATAGTCACTATAATTATACGATTTTTTTCAGTTCTATTACAAATTCGAGATAAGTAAACTAACATGACCATGATGAAGATTAAGAGGTGATTACCCACACTTCACAATTAAACAATAATTTTAGAAGAAGAATAAATAATTGAATAAATTCTCAAAAAACTAGTTGCAAGCAAACTCTCAGTGCTATATGTTTGGTATGATTATTCTGGTAACATTAGCTTACCTTGAGATGTACCCAGTCCACAGCTACCCTGATGTCTTGGAAGATCGATTGGTAGGACATGTACAATTCTCCTTTGTAGACACCCTTATTGTCCCTGCACAAGTACCATATTCACGTTTTTAAACACCAGTTACACCGTTTTTATGATTAGCCCCCTTTTTCTGCTGTTAACCTATTAGCCTAAAATGCATGCACGCATGCTATATCTTATTACACATAGTAGCATAATGAAAGGCACGGCATAACGTCTTATATGTAATAAAAGAAAATATTTCTAGTTACTTCCTGATAAGAAATTCCTCACAGCAATCAAAGTAGTCAATCACGCAGGCTAACAGGTAGGTTTCTGTGAATGCATAGCAATTCAAATGTTAAACCACTAAAATATGATCTGATATAACAGTATATGTACACTATAAAATAAATGTTATAGAAATATACAGTTAAAAGAATCGCTCTTATAGTTGCCTTCCATATTTAGTCATTTGCATAATTCATTATATATAAAAGATGAAATCACAGTTGTGTTAATTATGACTAACAGAAATAATAATACTAGGTTGTTATAGGATTAGAGATTTCCTAGTTCAAAATGAATGGGATGGTATTTTTAATGAACATATTGTGAATTAGTCTTACCTGGTAGATTAAACAGTGTATTTAGCACAAAAATTCTCTTATCCAACTTGATGAAGCTATTTGGATACAGCTCTCGTATCTCCATTCTATTACAAACAGAATTGCACAAAATCAACCATATTTAATTATGCTAATATATATAGCCATTGCTATCTAATGCCACTTTATATATCTTTAACAGCTCAGTATCACATAGAATGAGAATATAATTTACTAAAATGTTCTACATTATTTAATAGAAGAAAACTATATATTTATAGCCAATTGGTACTTACGGTTTAAGAAACTTGAATCCATGACAACATACCAAAATGTTTCCATATTGATCGACTTTGAGCAAATTTCCATACTCCTTATCATACCAGAGGCCTCTGCAAACAAAAAATCTTACAGTGAATTGTTAATGTTACTAAGCAGGTAAAATCTTAAACACAATGAATGCATGAGTAAATTATAGGCAAAACAGCCTTTAGAATACAATAGAACTTAGTCACGACATTAGATCATACATATATATATATATATATATATATAAATACATAAATATGCTAATCTAGATACACAGGTTGGGTGTCATTATATTATGTATAAGCACTTACGAGAATAGGTGGTGCTCGAAACATGTAGCTGAATGAATAGTGCAGTAAATTCATAAACGTCGCAGCATACAAGTCAGCATAATGTGTTACCTGGCCAGCAAAGAATGTCTGCCGTGATCCTAAAAAATAAATAGCAAAATTTACATCACATCATCACACACCATCATTCATATGCTAGTAGTTAGGACATTTGTATTTAATAATTATAGTTAAGCTTCTATTATTCGTGTATCCACCATTTATAGTAACATTCATGCTTTGCCATGAACACGTTTGGTTATATTAGGGGTGAATAATGATAAATATTGTCATTAATCACCCCTAGTTATATGTAACACATGTAGTTAGTAAAAGCACAAACAGCCCTAATACACACCACTTCTGAATAAGCTACCCATCATTCCATATGCCATGTCCATCTCATGCGCCACTTCTCTGTTGTTCTTTTGTAGTGACCTAATGTCAGGTATCTGTTGTGTGCTGCTGTCCAAATTCCTGAGCAAAGAAGCAAACATAACCAGAATATGCTTTCACATCTCCTCTCTCTGGAGTTTAATCATGCCAACCCCACCATCTTCCTGTTAAGAACTTCAATTCTGGGGACATCACTAAATTGCCATCAACCTGTAATTAAGTAACTGGGGCTGGTTGCCAGTAACAAAATTTGTCTTAAGATTAGTCCTAACATGAAGTTTTTCTTACAAACCGTTGACAGAAACATGGTAAAATTGTGAGTTTCTCAAAAGCAGTGTATAGAGGGCCTGTCTAGAAGACAAAAGTTAAACCTAATTTTGTTTCTGACAATGCCCCCCTGGTATGTACTTACCTGTATAATGCAGAAATCAGGCCATCGAGATATTGAAGCTTATCATACAGTTCCCGTTTATCTGTCCAGACATGCAGTTCCTGTGCCAGTTCCGGCACGACGAGAAATGTCCTCCAACCTGTAAAATACAAATACAGTAAAACTCGCATAAGTCGGCACTTTTGGGACCAGCATTTTTGTGCTGACTTACGAAAATGACGATATACGCGTAAGTCGTCATTTTGTAGATTTATGTGTAAGTCATCAAAACGGTGACTTATGCATGTATATTGTCATTTTGATGACTCACAAAGCTGGCATTTCGACGACTTAGAGAGTGTCAAGCTGATATTTCGCCAGGCTTCCTATCTACATGAACTAATACATGCACTAAGGTATATCATCTCAAAATTACTTGATCCTGATGCCATAAAACACTAAAATGTTCAGTAAATAATCAAAGGAAGATTACCCCACCCTTAAATACTGCTCTACGCGCTACGACTGGATTGGGCGAGACTAGTCTGCATGTGTTTCCGCGAAACAATGAGTCATAATTTTACCAGGAATTCGCTGTACGTTGGGCTGCATACACTGCGCCATAGGCATTTCTGATGACGACATACAGATAGGATTTTACTGTTGTTTGTATTACATAGGACCTGTCTGCGGGCGACGACTTGTACATAATGATGGCTTGTAAATAACGACTTTAGCGGGGCTATTCAAATGGATTTATCATTAGAGAAAATTGGGACTTTGACTTCCATCACGAATTCTATTACATATTTGATTCTATTCAGCGAATTGACGAGTTAGACGATGGCGTCTTTTACTGCGAGTTTTACTGTAGACAATTTAAATGCAGTTTAAATGCCTTTTCCCCCTGACTCTCAAAACACGCAGATCATTCGTTAGTAGCACTGTACCCATTTAAAACCAATCCATCTAATCCCACAGATCAACAATATATATTAATAGAAAGTTCCTCTTTAAGGACTGGAACACTATTGGGGAAATCAGATAATTAGCCACTGCAGCAGTGGGCTAGTCTACACTACGAGATGTCAATGTGAAATCTATAGTACAAACACATGAAGAATAAATTAAAATGTACCAATTTGCCAGTCTTAAAACCTCTGCATATATTGTATGCATATGTATCAGTGGTTAATAATGATAATTTGTCATTATTAACCCCTAATATGTATGTATATATATATTGCAAAATATCCCACACGACCACAATCATATTTGTAAATGTTTATGTCAACAGAAACGCACCTGTGAATTGAAGTACAATGTTAGTGAAAAGAATTATAGATCTAAAACCTAGAATAGTCCTATTCTACCCATGTTATAAAAGGGCAGTTTATACCCCTCTGATCTGATCTCAATATGGCGACGGGGACTTTCCGATATGGCTTCATTCGTCTGATGTGCGAAGCATCGTGAGTGTGTCCTAACAACCCTGCTGGTATCTGATGAAGATGGTCTACGACTTCAGTCTCTTTCCCGCCAAGCCTTCCTCCCGTTACGTTGTAGCGAAAGTTCATGCATTCCACTATATGATCGTTTCTACCTATTTGTTCTTAATCTAATTCGTATTTTAAACTCAATTGTTCTCTACGTGATAGTGAAGTTACGGATCCTTCCGGTCATCCTTCGTCCTCACCTAGAAAAGCTTCCCTCCATATCCTAATACTTTACACTACTGTCGTTTCTTTTCACATATTTTAGAGATGGTGCATATTCTCCCCCCCTCATTCTCCATTTGTTTTTTACCGTTTTCCCATTGCATTGTGGAGAATGTTAGTACATCTCACACCTATTCTCTGTCTCGTTTCAACTCTTCCCTCACACAGTGTAGGCGCTTACAGTCACTTTTTACATTCATATTCACTTGTCCACACCATGAGCTGTTCGATCTTGAGCACTCCTTATATTGTTATATATTATTATAATATTTA